TATGGGACACATTTGCTCTTTCTCAGCATGATTTACAAGTTATAACTGTCGAAGTTTCTAATATTGGTGCAGGTTTGCTGCATCTGCCTTACTAAGTATGGAGATGACGATGAGCTCCGCGAGCTTCCTTGCAACCATTTGTTTCATGTGCAATGTGTCGATAAATGGCTCAAGATAAATGCAGTATGCCCACTCTGCAAGACAGAGATTGGAGGCGTGGTTCGATCATTCTTTGGATTGCCCTTTGGCCGCCGCCGTGTTGATAGGATGGCAGGAAGAGGTGTAGCTAGCTCAAGATTTAGTGTATAGAACACGTCCCTTTGCTCTGATATATGCTTGCTTTGTTGTTTGTTGTATGCCTAGTGTTGCTCATGGGATTCAGTGTGCTGATTCTCAAGAAAAGCAGTAAACTGCTTTCTGTCAGACTGTTACGCTTGGTTCACCAAACAGATGACAGCAAGTGGAGACCTGATGCTTGTAATGGCATGTTTGTGGTATAGTGGAGGTGATGTTATATTCCGATTTATCATTTGACGTCGAGCTTGTAAATAAAGAGACAAAGTTCACTTCTGAGCGCAGGGAAGGATGATATATTTCGTCGAAGGAAGAATGATAACTTCGAGAGCATTCTGTTGTGTGCTATCATTGTGCTTGGTATTTGTTTAATAGCCAGTACTGTGAGTTTCTCTTGGTTGGCACCATGCACCAAATAGGCAGCACCAATCTAACGTTTTTGTTGCTTTGGGGATGCTATATTTGCTACTCCCCCCGATCCAAGATGAACTAAAATCATGACACTTATTTTGGATCGGAGGGTGTACAATGTTTTCTTTCCTACAAACCTATTGTTGCTCATGCATTTGAGAAATTGATGGAGACAAGTTTCCGTAAGAACATATACATTTGCTTCAGGCAAAATGATGTGTTTGTCATGTATGAGCAGAAGTTGAATAACCGAAAACCTATGTGAAAGCAGCGGTGAAAAAGATGCTAGAGGCCTGGAGGGAGAGGTATGGAATCAGCATGCCCTTGGTGCAAAGAATTTTTTGTAGGATTCCGATCCACTCGGAATTTTTGAATCCATTTATTTCAAAGGAATAAATTCTCCAAAAGTTGGGTGGAATGTTTTTCTACACTATGGCTTCTTTGGTTCAAACGAATTTTAAATCAATTTTGTAGGATTCCAACACACAGGAGGTTTTTCTAGAGTCCATTTGATTCAAAGGAGTGACCTCTCCAAAATTCGTCTTAACTGTTCTCCAACACCACGATTCCATAGAATTTCTAGCAAGTTTAGGTGTCATATCTCAATAGAAAGTTTATGTGTTTTTGCTGGTTCATGTACGATTCCAAATGTCAGCATATCCATTCCTACATTTTTCATGTTCCTATGTTCTTAAGCGCAGAAGGTTCTACAATTCCATCAGATTGACTGGAAAATCCACTTATATCTTGACAAGCATGACATGCACTCAATATCTATATAAAATTCTCATGGTTTTTCCCGTGACGCAACCAAACAACTTCCGCTACCGATTCTAGTGTTTTCATTCTCAGGATTCCAAATGTCATGATACCATATTCTCATATTTTTCATATTACGATGTTTTTAAAACCCTAGTGGCCCTCAGTTTCTGGCACCATTCTCACATTATTTTAACAGCCTCTTTTTTTTTTGAAAAAATCTCCAGATGATGTAAGGTAAGCATGTTCAGGAGGCAGAAGCTAACATTTTAGATAGTCAAAGCCATCGTTCAGCAAGCACAAAGCAGGTGGCGACTTACAGCTGCCCCTCCCATGCGTGTGTGCATGTACTGGGTGGCATGTTGCATATGGCCGGCAGCTGCAAATATGCTCACAATAATTCAAGGCCGGAATGTCTGCAGTCCACACCAGAGAACAACCCCCCTATTCCAGCTGTTGTCATTGCGGTTAGCTCGTTTTCCCTGATGACTGATTAGTTTAAGAAACATGAGAGATGTCTATGCAGGGAAACTTTTTGTCTGATGCGAAGACGTCGATGTCGTGGAGAAGTTTCACGGAATGTTGGCATCCTCCTGCTGGCCTAGCTTTGGAAATCCCTCGTGCAGGGTGGGTGGCAGCTCGCCAGGCCAGGACCGAATATTTCCCTCTCGTGATCTCGTCTATTTCCAAAGATACCAGGAGCTGTGTACTCTGGCAGACTGGTGGCCACAATGTGGCTTACACCAGCGGCGTTTTCCTGATGACTGGTTACTTCATTTAATTATTATAATGTTGTATGGTTTATTTTGAGTGTTCGAGATTTTATTATTTTTTAAAAGACAAAAATATACTCTCACTGTAAAGAAATATAAGACACTCTTATATTTCTGCACAAGAGGGAGTATATATTAAGTAGCACAAACCCGTACGTAAAAACTCTTAATTGAAATTGAAAGATACACCAAGTCCTTGGGGTCAAAGTCTTCTTCGGCCTCGTGATGTGTGTCATGAACAAAGCTCTTAGTTGCCTTTAGATGCGACTATATGGGGTATATATGAGAGGCAATACATAAAAGTTTTTTAAGGACAAGTAAACGAGTTATACTTGTACGCATCGACGTCAACGCAGCGCCCCACACCATTTGTACTACGGTTAGTCCAACACGGTACTAGAATTTAGAAGTGTTGAACTCACCCTCTTGTACTTGCCGAAGATACAATGCTCACGAAATTCCAATTTTCCAGTTTCATATCCATCAAGAAGACCTTTCTTAGTTAACTCTGCCAAACCAAGTTCATATGCCCAAGGCTAGCAACATAACAATCAGAATTCTTTAAAATAAACGGAGTAGCATTACCTGAAATGGTAGAACTCGAAGGTAGTAAAGACCATTGGTCAAACTTAAGTCACCTTTCATCACAACAAGAGAACCTTTGGTCTATCTCCACTTAAATACTTGTACCGTTTTGCATGAAGGGCGCTCACAAAGAGAAGACCTCTCTTCATCTTCGGGATATATCAAAAATCTGTCAAAGTTCTGATTGTGCCATCAAACATCTTGATTTGAAAGGAACATATGCCTTCAATCATGCATGGTGAATTATCAAAATCTAAAACGGAACCAGTATCAGTAGTAGTAGAATCAAAAGTAGTAAATCAATCTCTATGCGAGCACATATGAAAAGTAAATGCAGTGTCAAGTACCCAATCATCATTGGTCTCAACACATCCAGCAATAACAATAAGAGCATCATCGGAACTATCATCACCAGCAACATTAGCAGAATTTTCACCTTCTTTGTTACCTTTCGGCTTGTATGTGCCATTCCTTTTTTCTTTGTTCTGCAACTTGAAACACTAAGAGATGTGATGCACGTCTTGCAATATTGTTTTTACCCTGGATTGCGATTGGCCCCTGTAGCCATTCTTACCTTTTCCTTTGTTTCCATTATGCGAGTTCTTCTATTTGGTCCTGCCACGAACATATAATCCCCCGGCTTGGGATAAACTTGAACTATCATGAGGTACCACTAGTTTCATCTTATCCTCAGAGTTCAAAGCTTCATAAACTTCATTAAGCATGAGAGTATCACGACTGTGCAATATGGTGTCTCTAAAATTGGTATAAGAACTTGACAGTGAACATAGTAACATTAAAGTCGTATCTTTCTCATCATACTTAACATCCATTGCAGCTAGATCGGATATAATCTCTTTAAATTCTAAAATATGATTCAAAACATTACCTCCCTCGAGTAACCTGTGCAGGAATAATTTTTTGCTTCAGATGCATCTTGCTAGTGAGATCTTTTGTCATGCCAATCCCTTCTAGCTTTACCATAGAGCAGTGGTTGTTTTCTCGCTCAAAACTTCCTGCAAAATATTATTATGCAAATGGAGTTGAATTTGTGACAAAGCCTTACAGTCATTTCTTTTCTCCCCATCGGTCCAATCTTGAATTCTATTTTTCCGCTACCGTACTAAACCTTCATGTAATTGGTGTTCAGAATAGCGTTTCCTATCCCCCCTACTCCTAACCACCTCATTGATCGAACTCCAAGATCTAAGGTACATGCAGGGTCGAAGAACAAGGAAGAGACAAGAGATAACTCCACCAATCGGAGACATACATGCCGTTCATTATTCAAAGTCATTACATCGATACCTCATACAAATACATAGGGTTGCAAGGCTAGGACTCAACCCATTGCCTTACCGAATTACTCATACATGACGATCGGATCGCAAGAAGAAATCATCGGAGAAGACATAAAGATGAATGCTTTATTGATACACAAGCGGTGGTGGTTCACTGGTAAAGGCAGGCGAGCCCGTCTCCTTGTAGGGCTTGGGGAGATCCGGGGCGTAAAACCAGTCTCACTGCCACGACTCTGTCATTCATGACATCGGAAGGTCAAAGTACTATGAGCTCAGGTGAGGTTGAGTAACTACTCTGTCACAATCCGATATCTTGTTGTTCTCCTTACGCGGTTTTGCTTAGAAGAAATAACGCCCGAGGCCAAAATGCAGGGTTGTTCCAAGAAAGCACTCACATAGAGTGATGACGCATGCAAGATGTAGAAGCCCGTTTGATGTGACATGGTGGAGTTGGAAGCCATAGTAGGTAAGGATCCCCCGAACGAAGCGAGTAGCGGGAGAGATCGCTACAGATGATGGATGTATGGGCAACCAGGTTCCAGTTCAAAGGCCTCAGAATCTTGTCCGACGGTTGCGCGACAAGCCATGAGAGATTGCGTCGCTCAGGAAGGAATCCCTAGGTAACTAAACCTTGCGAATGATTGAAGGTGGTTGTGGAAGGCCAGCTCCCCGGTCCCCTGGATAGAACAACCACCTCGTTTGGAAGATGCTGGAGACTTGCAGATTTATCCACCGAGGCGTTCCCACGACCGACTGCCACACCACTTCCGCTCCTCATGGCCGCTCCAGATTTGTGCTCTTCCATTGATGGTGACAAATCATAAGATGGAGATGCTCTATTTGTGCTTACCTCCCTCGGTTTATAAAGGCATGGGTGGGAAGCAAAGTGGCAGCATGACTCTCGAAGACTACACCGGACGAGGAGCAACACGTGGACTGTTGGCTCACAGGAAAGGCGCAAACCTATCACTGTCACACAGTTTGGACTTGGGCCCTAAGCAAAGAGTCTTTTCAACAACCCATGGCAAAGCACGGCCTGGTCCAACTGTAGGGCTCCAGCCTCGGCCTTTATCTGGCCCAGGGATGTTTTCGGAAGGCACAGGAACAAGGGTCCCATGACCTCAAGCCCGGATGCGACAAGAGCTGTAAACCCCTGGCTATAAGCACACGAGCTTGCTGGGCACCA